ATACCGTCATGTAATTTTGGGGTTTTTTTGTTGTTGTTTTTCATGATGGCTGATTTTAATTATTCTAAGAATTTCATTCATATTTGAAAGAATTTTCTTTCGGTGTATTATTAATTAGCATCATCCGTTATTGGCGTCCGCGCCGAAGCGCGGCGCTCTTATGGAATGAGATCAGATTTTGTGAAAGGGCGACAGCAACTTCTCGAGCCTTTTAGGTTCATAATAAAAGCCCGAAAATTCCGATCGTTATGAGGGTGCTTGATTATTAAATAAGAATGAAATGTCGCGATATGTTACAATTAATTTTCGCAATGCAAACATTTACAAATGAAATAACCTTTCCGTCAATAAATCGCGCTCTTCGGGTTTTTTATTTATCATTTTGTAGTACACAGTCGGTTATCATGTCATGGTATGTTATTGTTGTACATGTATCCTAGAATGATCAGTTGATGACCTAAATATTCAAAAAACCTATTTATAGATATATCTTTTTATCACTCCTATCGGTAAATGCCGGTCTCTCCCGGTCTATTTTGACCAGGATTTACTAGTGACCGGCGAATAGTACCACACGTTTATTGTCCGGTCTCTCCCGGTTTTGGAGTAGATGTTTTGATATCGTTACAATTAGAAAAAAAACAACAATAGCATGTTTCATTTTATCTATATGAGATAAAAACAATAAATATGTACACGGATTTATATGTAATATAAATCCGTGATATGTACAATAATTGAGAAAAAGGTACATTTTTTATGGTATTAAAATGACATTATCAACTTTGAAACATTTTATTTAATTATTCAATTTGTTATCCGTGTTTAGTAAAGATGCCGAGGAATTATTCAAAGTTTACAAATTAGATTTTATGAATTATTCAATTGATCGATAATTTAAAAAAATGATAAAGAAAAATACAATGTACATGTACATGGTTTAAGAATAAACAATATTATATATATTGAAAGATAAACCATAATTTACTGACTTTTTCCAGTTAAGCTTTGACTTATAATCGTCGGTCAATATGACAATTGAATTCTTAAAATTTATTTTACAATTTTGATAAAAAAGAGTAGTAAAAACTCAGTATTAAAATAGCACATAAACACAAAAAAGAATAAAAGAAAACAATATTCATAAAATTTGTATTTTTTTTAATTAAAATTAATAGATATTACAATTATTGTATAATAAACAATTATGCTCAACATGATCAACATGGTAATATAAACCAGTGTCATATTTTTACTAACTTAAGTGTGAAACAGATACCTTAAGGGGTCTTCGCTAATAGCGATAACATGTACATAATAAGGGACAAATGTGTGGTACGTGTTGATCATGCGTTACACATATGGATTATAAAATGATTGCATACATGTATATCCGTTGCTATTAATAACCACGATCATAAAGAAATAACAAGTAATATTCTAATCTCTAGCATGCCAATCAAAGTTCATAATGAACAATGTCTTTCGTCCGCTCATTCATAAGTGGTATACATTTCTGGTAGTTTATAAGAATATCTTGTCATCATATGTGTACTAGTTCATCTTCACTTGCTGCATTTCTTGCTTGGACGCCCTTTGATGCTTTGCATCAATGCTTTTCTTGTTCATATGTTTGATTAAGACTGCATGTAAGCACGCAGTCTAGAATAGAAGCGCAAGTCGTATTCTTGCGAAGAACAGGCGAGTATTGGTATACAAAATCCAAATTGTAATGTAAAAAAGCTGGGGGGGGGGGGAATGAACAAAAAAACGGTCTTATATATACTTAAGATGAACTATACTCTCACCGAAAGTAATATATACAGAAGTTGACTTTGATTCGATATGCACCAATAATATAATCGGCGTATATATCCCGTAATGCAGAATTGTTAAAATTATGCAGGATTGTGCAAAATCAGTCATAGTTGTGGAAATAAATGCCGAAAACTAGTATCTTATGAAGCTATATAGTTCGGCAAATGTGTTAGGTATACCGAAAAGCAAACTATAAAAAAGGCTAAATGTGCGTTATTGTACTCATTAATATCGGCGAAACACAAACTTCAACGCTAGAACAGTAGCCAGATCCTTTTTCTCACAAATAATCTGGAATATATGTTATGAGGGTCCTTACAGCCGTATGCGCTAATTTATTTCTATTTATTTGATGAAATATACTTTAAAATATATATCGACCCTTCTTCCTATTCGAATTGGTCATTACCCCCGCCCCCTCCCCATATAAATTTGCACAATTCAGCGTTATTTTCAAAATTTCTTCGTTTACGGTGAGTATTGTGTAATGCACGAGTTTCTCGACTTCACATATTTTCAATTGTATAGAGAACAATAGAACAAAAACAGGGCGGTATATATTTGCAGACCAGTCTGTTAAGCGATCGGTAAGTGATTTACTAGGTAAATAGTTTTCCGATTCATTGTGATATATAGCAATAAGTGATAGTTTGAAAATTCTTCAATTGACAGCCCCAGTCCCGTTTATTTTTTATCACCTTTCGTATGTCCTGAAGACTTTAAAATAATTTTCCATTTTTAGACATACATATATATTTATAAGCAGGATTAAGCATATGCACTATTTACATTGACATTCACAGGGACACTGATCATTTCCACTACACTAAAGTCAATCAGGATGATAACGCTTTATCAGACATTCGTGCTTACTTTATAGGCGGGGCTTAATAAGCTAAGTGTTCTATCCTATGATTCAAATTATCGAATAAATATTTTTCAGTACTGTATCCAATCAATATTTTGAATTATACAATGTATATTTTCATATATAGAACATATATATAGAAAATTATCGCACACAAATATTTTTGGATGAACAAATATTTTTAGTAGGATAGAATAAATATAATGGTAAAGCATATAAAATTAGATTTATACAATATAAATATTGGATATAGACCAAAAATTAAATTTATTGAATATTGCAACGTTTAACATGCCATACACTTCAAGTTTATATATTCCTGTTCTTTAAATTTCCTGTTATCGGCATGAGGTCGTTACACCATCGTCTATCACCGTTGTACATGTTGTATACGTAATAGAAAGAGCACCGAAACACGAGGCTATCTGATTTGTACGAGGGGGCGTAGCCCCCGAGTATTAATTAGATTGCCGAGTGTTTTGGTGTTCTTTCTCTTTTGTATCATAGTCAAACATAAAAGCACGTTCCCTGTTGTCACAATATGAAACCCCGGCAAAAAATGAACCAATGAACGAACATCTGAAGATGACATTTCTGTTGGTTTCCCTTTCTCTGCCGTCACAATATGTAAACCCCAGCAAAAATGAGCCAATCAATGGGCATGTTCTGGAGTGCGGGTAACTAATACCCGCACTCCAGTTAACGCACTGTGCATGTATATGTATACGATTTAACCCTGACACATTTTCAACAGAAAGGTCTCCAAACTATGATACAACCATACTTGTCGGCAATATCCGGAACATTACCGGCTCCAACCGGAGCGTTGTTGCCTATGACCTCAGTGTACACTGGCTCTACCGTAGCTCTGCCTGTTTCACCGTGGCAACATCGTATCATCACCGAGGCTTTGCCGTTTGGACATTGATTGACACGCATCCCGGTTTACTACGATTTGTCACGGTATGGATGCGGTATAGATACGGTGGTTTCCCGGCAATGCCCTGTTCCAAGCCGATAGAACAATTCTGATGAGCCCCGGTTGTATTAAACATTTAAATACAACCGTGGCGATCTCTCAGTTTGTTCCGGTTCACCATGGATTGTCCCTTTACTTCACGGAATCGCAACGGCCCATCGCCGGTTTACCACGGTTGATCCCGGTTGACTAAACCGTGGCAAACCGGGACACCAAACCGGGACTGTGTAAACGGGGCTTAAACCGCCCGTTTACGACTGTATAACTATTAGCACTAGCAACAAAACAGGTCTTCAAATCAATGAAATGACTTAAACCGAATTCTGATAGCGACAATATCATAATACCTTTAAGATGTTGCCAATCAGGGTTATAAATGAAAAAGGGAGACAAAAGAAAAATATTTATCTATTGAGAATTGAATTTCAATTGTATCTTTCTAGAATACGCTTTCTAGCGTCAAGATTACATTATATAGCAGCTCAAAACCTCGATATTTAGGTTCATAAAAGAAAACAATTAAAACAAAGATACTTTTTGTTAAATGGCAATTACAATAAAATAACTATGAGAGCGTTAAAAAGTAAAATAATACTACTTTTAATCATGATTTTAACATGAATTTACATCTTGCGACATTTAACGGCAGTGTTGCGACATTTAACGGTAGGGGAAATTCGTACGACATTTAACGTTAACATTGCGACATTTAGCGGCAAATGATTTTGGGACATTTAGCGGTGGTTGCGACATTTAGCGGCAATGGTGCGACATTTAGCGGCGTTGCGACATATAACGGCGCCACAATACCAACTTCACAATAGTTTTCACTTATTTTGTATTCGGTTTTATATTATCTATCAAATCTTTTATCAAAGCCTCAGCATTGTACAATTCATTACATCAATGCATATATTTATACCATTCTAAAGTATAATTGTCAGAGACTTTTAAGTACATGTATTATTAATGGAATTAAACAACATTTCTACAGCAAATCTTTAAAATGATTAAAGGTTAGATACTAGTATTTCTTGTTATATTTCTTGTTAGTCCTGCAGCCACTTTATTACACACCTAGGGATAGCTGATACTTGTTTTGTTGCACTTTGGGTAAAAAAAAAATAACTACAAAATACATATGAAAAATACACTGCAGGCATTGTAACTGTTCGTATCAAGCTGTGTACAACATAGTAAAAGATAGCCAGCCCAACTTTGTTTACCAAAAAATGAAAAGTAAATAATTATATTGTACAAGTAAAGAAAACTCGACATTAAATATACATATACACCAGGTTTTTGTTCAAAGTCAAGTAAACCTACTTAAAGTATAAAGAAGGCATTACAATATTCTTTTCCGTTCTATATGCTAAACGCGTATCGATTTGATCGCACTGCAGTCAGTCGGCGTTCATATATATACGCCAGGAAGCAAACAAGAAATAGTCCGGTTCTTTAAACAAGTGGTAACTTCTTTGTATTTGTTTCTTTTTATATTCTTCTTTTTTATTTATTTTGTTTAATTATTTTTTTGTTTTGTTTTATTTGTAAGTGTTTAACTATTAAAATTCAATTAGCAAAGGTTTTTTTTTCTTTTAATTAAATATTTAATTGATATCAATTATTGTTTTTAATACATTCTATTCTTGTTTTACATTTTTATTTATTAAGGAAGATTTTCTTCCGTACTTGACTTGAATATTTAATTGATATCAATTATTGTTTTTAATACAATTTATTCTGTTTAGATGAAGACTTTCTTCTTAACATGTGTGTGATTAATATATTTTCAGTCAGAGACTTTCAAGTAAAAAAGTGACGAGGACAAATGCAACTCGTTTAAATAATGCACAGGCTTACGGAACAACGCTGGGCCGATTTCTTTTGGATACTTTTAAATGCGGCCGTCGTATGTCAAGGGATTGCATTTGTAAGCCCAGCCTGGTTGAAGGTGTTCATAAATTTTGAAAAGAATTACATAGTGGCGAAAGGAAAGGGTTTGACCAATGGTGACGAGCATAATTCAACGAACAGTAGTACCATTGCAGCAACAACTGTTGAAATTACTACACCTGCTCCAAAAATGGTACCAGTCAATCAAGATTATGGATTATGGTATATGACACAGTGTCATGTTGACACGTGGCAATGTGACACCCTAACGTACTATCACATTAATTTCATGGATGAGTCATACGATAAAGCTAAGTTTCAGGAGCCCAACCATTGGTTTCTGGATCGGACTAACTTGTTTCTAAACGGAGTCGAGTTGCGTAAGTTTATCTTATTAACTGTTTTCTTATTTAGAGTAACTAGCAATAATTATGGTACAGTTCTTTTGCAATTAAAATGTAACTGTATTATTGTATTAGTCCTTTGTCAAAGTTATAATTAATATAAGATGTACATATTACATTGCATTGGATAAAATAAATGTAAATAATAAAAAAACGACATTTAAAAACAAGTTTCACATACATATCTATCTTACAACCTATTAAGAGTTATAATCCCGTTATAATTAGAACAGCTTATACTTAAAAGCCATACTCCCGTTATCATTGAAAGAGCCATAATCATGTAAAATTTGACCATTTTATTATCATATCAGCTTTTAAAAAATTACATATTAAGCTGAAAAATAAAACAAAAAGTCATTAAACTTTTGACATGGAATGAATGACGGAGTTATACGGAATTTTACGGGTATATACCGTATGAACGAATTTAACAATATGTTCTGATGATTTAAGGATTTGACTATGCAACGCTTTCTGAGAACCAAGCGGAATACACGTTAGGACTTCTGGTATGCTGTGTGGCATGGTGGCTCGTCTATAAACATAGGAAACGACTGGTGAAGAAGAATCTTGATAAAGTGACAAGTGCAAGACTGATTGCTGCAACTGTGACGTCATTCTTCTCCGGTATGACTTAGAAAAAGAACATTTTTAGAATGTGTTTTCCTTAAATAGCAAGTTATACTGCATCAAACATTATATATTAACAATGTCACTTGTCTGCTATTCAATAGAAAAAAGTCAACAGTCAAATGAAAGCATGTGCCCATCACCTTGGTGATAGCAGGGACTCTCAAATTAATTGTTAAAAATCAACCCTAACTTGGACATTTAAAGCTAAAGTCACCGTTTGACATATGCATTGCGTTGATAACGCAGTGCGGTGATATATACAAATAAAAGCCTACTAATTTTCTTCACTATTGTCCCGTTGGTAAAACAATTTACAGATGCATAAGGTAATCATGTTTGAATAACTTGAGATAGGACATGAATTTGTAATTGATATGATGCATGAGATAACGTGCACGTACATTACTAAACAAATATATTTTTCTATCTATAACAAGAACAAACTGACACTATTATTTCCTTATGATTATTTATGTACACGGAGCACGTGTCATTTGATGAATACATATTGATGCAATGTACTTAGCATTTTAAGGTTATTTACTTTCCCTTCATGTATATCTATTTACTTGTATTAAAATGTTTAGGGTATGAAAATGGTAATTTATCTTCTACCGAAGTTGTTTTTTGTCAAAACGTCTGGATAAAACCCAATGTTTTTTCTCATTTTGTACCTTCTTTATTTAGGCCTGTTTGTAATCATACCAGTAGGGCGGTTTGGCAATATGTGCGACCAGCTGAGAGCCCTTGCAATGGATTATCCAAGTAGAATAGCTGTACACAAACCAGTAGGTCTCGGATTCGCGGCTGCAGGGGGCTCTATTGCTTTGTTGGTGTCCTTCGTCATTGGTCTTCGGATAATACTGAGGAGTTATTGCCCCGACTGTGTTGATCTTCCTGCTGCTGATGAAGTTATGATGAGGGAAACAGTCAACCAAGTCAACAATGGTGCGGAGAAAAGACAGTCTCAAAATAGCATTTAAACTGGACGAAAACAGGTATCAGAATTAATGATGTTAGTCACAAAACAGCATTTAGAATTGATAATCTTAGGAGGCAAATGACAGTCACAATTGATGATGTTTGTGAACAAATGACAGCCACAAAATATGATTTAGAATTGAAAATGTTTGTAAACAAATGATATTCACAAACAACATCTTAGGAGGCAAATGTGATAAAAAGAATTGATAATAATTATTTGGAAACAAATGTCTGTCATAAACAGCATTTAGAATTGATAACCTTCGATGACAAATGACAGTCACAGAACAGGATTAAGAATCAATGTTTATAGACGAATGACAGTCACAAAACAACATTTAGAATTGATAATGTTTGTAAAAAAATGACAGTCACAAAACAGTTTTTAGAAACGATAATGTTTGTTAACAAATGACAGTCACAAAAGAGCATTTAGAATTAATAATCTTTGGAGGCAAATGTGAAAACAGCATTTAGAATTGATCTGAGAATGCAAGAGGCAGCAACAAACAGCATTCCAAAAATAGGATTAATAAAAACAGATGGTGTTTGTTCTAATGTTTAAAGTAACATGATAACATGGATTCATGTTCAAAGTTTTAATTCGTAAATAGATCTATATACAAAAATGTCTTTATTATCAAGGATACTTTAAGTAAAATACCCTCTCTTATATTTTATTCACACGTGTAAAACGGTAAGAAAGGAATCTTGTGAAACGAAACAGAAACACGGTTCATTTTTATTTCAGAATCATGTATTATGCTAGGAATTGACAAACGTAAATCAAACTATATTCTTCATATGTTGTACCCTTATCTTCATTGTCTTCTTGGGTTAACTGGAGACAGTTTATCGTAATTTTGTATCATTTATTTATAAATATGCATGATATTCATAAAAAGGATAACATTTAGATTTTGTATCTTGAAACTAACGTTACTTGTCTTTTTTCGCTGTCATTGTACTCAAATATATCTTAAATCTCACAAAAACCTCTCTGCTTCAAGGAAGTCACTTTATATTCAAAAGATGCATAATTATTCATAGAATCTTGTACGGGTCTTAAGCAAGAGTATTTCTTGATGAGACATAAATCCAAGTTATTTAGAAAAACAAAGCGCGCCATTTGTATAAATGTCGTCTGGTTCTTCACATTCGGCGAACTCGCGCTAAAGTTGAATTTGTTTTTGTTATTATCATTTTTTCTTCCATATCAGACTGGTGTCTTCATTAGTTTTACCCATGCCAGAAATTTCATCTGGCATGGGGATGGGTGTGGTGGTGCCAGTTGAGTCGTGTGCTATACAGTGGCGTCATTTTAGCGCATTTTGTCAATAAACTGCGTTAAAATGACATGGTTGGGAATTTCGCAGTTATGAATGAAATTGTAATTGCATACGCTGTTGTAAGAAAATAGTTACAGATTTAACGGCATAAATTTTCTTGGAAAATTGTTTTATTAAGATAAAGAATTTAAAATGATGAAATATGATAGAATATGAAAGAAAAATATCTGACAAAAGTTTGCGGTTCGAATCTGAATAACCGTCACTCGCAACACATGACAGATATCATTATATAATGAAAAATGACTAAAACGAATATACCAGGCATGCTATAGAGACATTATGCCCGTACAAGTATAAATGGTCAAGTGTTCGGGTAAAATTAAAGTATCTTTACATTTTGTCATATTTGTTTTTAATTTTATATTCTAACATGCATCGTGATTTTGTCACTATATACAAATAAGAACAAAACTGTTGTTTAATTGCCAATAAACACAGGTAAAGAACTTCATGTATATGCGGCTGTTGTTTTTTCTCATAAATGAAGCCTTTAAAGTCAACAATAATAACGCATTAGTATAAACATATTTTATTCCAGAACATACACAAGAAAAGCATTGATGCAAAGCATCAAAGGGCGTCCAAGCAAGAAATGCAGCAGGTGAAGATGAACTAGTAGATATATGATTATAAACTTTTCAATGGTTAATTGGTTTTTACCAGAATTGTATATCACTTATGAATGAACGGACGAAAGACATTGTTCATTATTAACTTTGATTGGCATGCTAGAGATTAGAATATTACTTGTTATTTCTTTATGATCGTGATTATTAATAGCAACGGATATACCTGTATACAATCATTTATAATGCATGATCAACACCACACTTGTGTAATTGTCCCTTATTATGTCCCTTCACACTTACAAACAATATGACACTGGTTACATTACCATGTTGATCATGTTGAGCATAATTGTTTATTATACAATAATTGTAATATCTATTTTAATAAAAAAAATACAGATTTTATGAATATTGTTTTCTTTTCTTTTTTTTTGTGTGTTTTATGTGCTATTTTAATACTGAGTTTTTACGTTTACTACTATTTTAAGAATTCAATTGTCATATTGACCGACGATTATAAGTAAAAACTTAACTGGAAAAAGTCAGTAAATTATGGTTAATCTTTCAATATATAATATTGTTTATTCTTAAACCATATACATGTACATTTGTATTTTTCTTTATCATTTTTTAAATTATCAATCAATTGAATAATTCATAAAATCTAATTTGTAACTTTGAATAATTCCTCGGCATCTTTACTAAACACGAATAACAAATTAAATAAAATGTTTCAAAGTTGATAGTGTCATATTAATACCATAAAAATGTACCTTTTTTCTCAATTATTGTACATATTTATTGTTTTTATCTCATATAGATAAAATAAAACATGCTATTGTTGTTGTTGGTTTTTTTTTCGAATTGTATGTTTATGTATAATAATAATCAATAAATTTGAGAGTTGATCTGTGTTTATTAATTATTGTAACCAAACTAAGTGACAAACATTCATTTTGAAAAAAAACTTATATAACTGTAAAATATTTGTTCTGTTCTGTAACGATATCAAACATCTACTCCAAAACCGGGAGAGACCGGACAATAAACGTGTGGTACTATTCGCCGGTCACTAGTAAATCCCGGTCAAAATAGACCAGGAGAGACCGGGAATTACCGATAGGAGTACATCCCTCTATAAATAGATTTTCGGAATATTTAGGTCATCAACTCATCATTCTATTCAGCTTTCGGATACATGTACCATAATAACCCACTGTGTACTACAAAATGATAAATAAAAATACCCCGAAGAGCGCAATTTATTGACGGAAAAGGTTATTTCTTTGAAAATGTTTGCATTGCGAAATTCTCCAGTATATATCGCGACATTTCATTTTTAATTAATAATCAAGCACCCTCATACTGATCGGAATGATCGGCTTTTATTATGTCCGACTAAAAGGCTCGAGAAGTTGCTGTCGCCCTTTCACAAAATCTGATTTCATTCCATAAGAGGCGCCGCGCTTCGGCGCGGACGCCAATAATACATGATCTACAGATTCAGTTATATACGCTTATAAAGTTCTTATCTCAATTGATTATAAATTTACAACCAAAAGATGGACATCGATTTACCGAAAACATGTGTATGGCTCATCTTATCTCAATTGATTATAAATTTACAACCAAAAGATGGACATCGATTTACAGAAAACATGTGTATGGCTCAATAGCTGAACATTAGAAAGAAATTATCTCAAAGTTTAAGTTAAAAAAAACATTGTTTATAGCAAAATAATTCTTTGCAATTTATTTATATCTATATCAAAAATTGACAAAATGTAATTGTTATGTCTCTAATTTAAAGAAAGTATAAAGAACAAATTAATAGATTCGGCTAGATTTTTGTGATAACGAGTTTGATGAGTTAAAAGACAACATTATTCCATTAATTATGTTTCAAACCTTTTGCTACGTTTGATATATCTATGACTTGCAGACAAAAAATGGCTTCATTTTCTTCATTTGATTTTGTTTCCGTTCCAAATAAGATTATTTCTAACGTAGGGGATATTATTTATGAAATAGTATTAAATAGATTTTGTCTAATGTCAACAAATTTTTGACATTCTAGAAATAGTGATTAGTTGTCTCAAGTCCAGCACATTGACAAAGGGGCGAAGGAACAATCTTTTTAAGAAAAAGTTGGTTAAGTGAGCTGCATTTACGATGGAGTCATGTGTGAAAAACTTGGAATTTCCTGTCACCATAATAGAAAAGCGGATTGCTTTTACTATTATCCTCATTTACAAAAGTTTTAATGTTGCTGAGGGACCCAGCATTTCTTACATCAATGGGTAATTTGTTTCATTCTTTTGATGTAGACTGGACAAAATAATTAGCATAGAGAGATATTCTTGCTGGTATAATTTGAAGGTTTGTGGAATAACGAAGATTATACAAATTTGTTTCACCTACAGTACTGGTTACAAGATTACATAAGTAGATAGGGGGAGATACCTTTTTATCATCTTACATAAGAGTATTAATTAATATTTACGACGACTCTCAGCAAGAGTTTACCAACCTATCTAAAGATACAGAAATAGAAACAAGTTTTGTGCAACCATTGACAATTTTTGCAGCTTCATTCTGAATCTTTTCAAGTTAATCTTTTTCGTAATTTGTGCAATTGTCCGATACAACATTAGAGTATTTTAAAAGTGGACAGCCAAAAGAAAAATAAATGACCTCTATTGACCAACGATCTAGTATATATATTTAAAACGTCTTTTGGCGTTTATTCGAGACAAAGCCTTGTTTTTGATCTGCTCATGCCAGGATGGATCATCTGTAAAGAAAACAACCATTTATTCTGCTTTAGGGATATCAACATTGACATACTAAATGGGTGATGATAATATTTATTTTTATCTTATGCTTTTGAGTGGATTATTGATTTATATTTGATGATTTCTCAGTGAAAATTATCAAAATATAATTTCAAACTTTTCAATGACAGACTACTTAAAAAAAAAGATTTCCCCATGTGGTACCTCAATTTCATTTTTGACATTGTCAGGGCTGCTTAGAGAAAAGCAAAGCTGTAATTGATAAATAACTTAAATGTCAAATGTAATAAAAAGTAAAAAATTACTTTAACTCATTCAAATTACCAATCAGTGAAACACCAAATATCGTCTCTAAATTTTTTGTTTCATTTTTACAGTCAGAAAAGAAAATACTCTTCCTTCCATATGCAAAACTTCTCTTGATGACATTTGGGCTTATCTAAGTATCCTACGAGTAATAACTGCCTAATGCAATATGAAACTTTCAAAAGCAATGACAGTCATCAGTCCGAAGAATAAGTAAACATCCCAGCGTTCGTAAGACAGCCTTTCAACAATTCCATGTTTTCCTAATTCGTATCGCTTTTTGAATGTTTGCATGTCTGTCAACAATTATTTATTGTCTGTAACATTTCTCAAATTAGTTTCCTTTTTTATAAAAAGATGTATGATTAACAAATCCAAATGATATCCATCTGAATCAAACACAATTATTTTCTTCCCGTGAAATACAAAACTTTTAAAAATGGCGGCCGCTTATATTACTCAAAGCCTGGTCTAATATAAATTCGCCTTAAGTAACGGAAATAAGGTCGGATGGTGTGACTTTGTTTCTACTAGAATTGTTTGTGTGTTTTTTTAAAACAAGGGATCATTATTTAACGTTGATTTTCGAACTTATTTTTCAGCTTAAGACTTCTACCAGTGGGGAAAACATACTTTTAAAATTAAGGTTAATATAATTGAGGAAATTTCATTTAAACTTGTTTAAACGCCACTCGTGAGAATACTATTTTTTAAAGCTCGCTCAATGAAATAGAATTTCATCTTACACACAAACAAACAAATATCCTCTATATCTTTTTCGAAATTATTATTGACTCTGACTTATAAGGATTGAATTGCACTATAGACTATAATAACCCAGTCTTATTGATATTTTTGTTTCAATACTAATAAAAATGATGATAATAATAATAAAAATAATAATAATAAATAATAATAATAATAATAATAACAAACTCTGTATTTAACGAAGGTAACTTATTAAGACAATACATCAAAGCATTGATCAGAAATAAGACGTATACATCTAATGCAAAACCCCATTTTCAACAAGGCCTTCAATAAACATAAAAGTAGACATATTTCAAGCAATTATAGCGATTATAACATTCTTAACCAACATATGATTCTTAAAAAACATCTAACATATACTAACACCAAATGTGTTACCCATATCAGTTGTTATATTAGGAAAAAATACGGCAATTTGTAAGCAGCAAAATGCCGTCATCTTAAGTTTACAACTCAGTCAAAAAGACGCCAGAATGAAATGAGTGATTTTTTGCTGATCCAGATGCGCACTATAACACTATATGTGAAAAAGAGTAATCACAGGGCGCATTTCCAACTTTTAAAAATATTATATAGATTTTTTAAAGACACATATGGAGCTCAGATAAAATTTTGGCCGACGATTCCTTCGTACAGAGCCAAATCTCAATAAATATTTCAATAAATGTTTGTTTGAATGTAAAGCATTGTTCGGTGGTAAGATTTTGTAAAAAGTCAGTATTTTGAGTCCATTTAGCGACATTTTCTTCATACGTATTGCATGCTTTAGGCACACCAGAACCCACAATGGACGAACACTAAATAAAAAGCCGATACAAATATTGGAAAACACAGAAAAAAGTCAGTAGAGTAGAATCCCGCTACAATTTTCTTTAAAAAACCAACAACTTATCAATCATTTCATATATCAGATAATGCAAGAAAACGAAGGAGCTCGTATAAAAACAAAGTGTTTGATAAAACGGCTCATCTACTAAAGAAGATCCAATATTCCGTGAAATACTTATTATTTTCCACGTAGACTGGAGCATATCCCGAAGAAATTGGTGCAGAATTAAAATACTTACGGCTATTTTCTCTTCCGGAGTGAGCAACATTTGTCTTGGAAATGACGCCAAAAAATGACGTCACGGTCACGTGGTATTGCTACACTGTAATATAGCAAAGGAAACGAGGAAAAGAATCATCTGGAATACACTGAGAGACGAAGCCAGACTTTGGTCCTACAAACATTTTTTAGCTGTGAAGTACAAACGGTAATTCAAAAGTAGGATACTACGTCATCGCGCACATGCAAAATGCTCCCATTGGGACTATTATTTTGTAAACATCCCGTAAACTCGGAGATGAAATGTGTTTTCATTCTAAGAAATCGTTTGAATATCAAACAATAATGTAGCGCACTAAAGATTGCCTTTAGTACTTGATACAATTTTAAAGAAAAAAAGAAAGTTTATACTTTACTGTCAGATTTAAGCCTGAAAACGGTATAAATTTTGTTTGGGAGTCTGAGTGGGAGTATTTAGGTAAAAAAATAATCCGTTTTATCTTTGGTGCGCTGCATTTTTTTTTTTGGATATTCTTAATATTTCTTAGAATAAAAACATTTTTTACCTTCAAGTCCACGGGATGATTACAAATAATAGTCCTATAAGGAGCATTTTGCAGGTTTGCGATGACGTAGTATCCTACCATTGCAATTGCATATACGGATTTGATGAAGCAAAACATCATTTCTACAAGTACAAATGATGCTGCTATGGAGCAATGGAGAAGCTCCGCGCAAAAAAAATGCGCTCATTACAGATACCTTACCAAATCATTCCTACGCACATTTCATGTTCTATTTTCTGGATGTTTTGTAAATCATTTTTTGCATAACAATACTTATCGTATGCACTGTTCATGAAACAGGGGCCAGATATCAAATTAAAAAATAATATGCTTTCACTGATGCCTACCTGGTAAGGAAAGTAATTTCAATACAAATAAGACTTACAAGACTTGTAAATGTAATGTGACATGACAGCAATGCAACATTGTTCTGTTTGTGTCACTACTGTAGTCAGTAATGTTAAATGATAATTTTTTTATCAAAGTATGTACATTTTCTTTTCCACATATAATGCTTCTCATTCTCTACAAAAAGCAACAACTAATCACGATAAGATATATAAAAATTCATATATACATAAGCCAAAACAAAAACTTTCATCGACTTTATTTTTCAAAATGTCCTTTACATGTTTCGCGGCAAATGGTATATCATGATATAACAATAAAAGCATTGATGCAAAGCATTAAAGATCGTCCAAGCCAGAAATGCAGCAAATAACGATGAACTAGAAGACATCTGATGACCAGATATTCTTATAAATAAAATTATTTTCCAATGGTTAATTTGATTTAACCAGAATTGTATATTATAGATAAATGTGCGGACGAAAGACATTGTTCATAATGGACTTTGGTAAGCTTGCTAGGGATTAGAATATTGAATATATTTTCTCTGGAACATACAAAACATAAACAAAGTCTTTTTTATCATTTCAATTGTTACAAATATACAAACAGTATATAAACATAGGAACAAAAGGGACTGATATAGTAATTTTACATGCATCTTGTTTGTGTCAAATTAATAGAAAGTGTTTTCTATTAATACCTGGGACTTAAGATACAAATGTTACATTTCAAATCCCAGATTAATACTGAAAGTAGAACATGCACACACTGGAATGAAAAATTTGAGATGAATCAAATTCAGGATTTTGTTTCTGTAATACACGTTATATGGTGAAACATTATTTATCAATATAATGGAAGACTGTTAACAGTATCAGGAAATTGACTTACATCATGTTCGTGGGAGTCAAAAATATAAAAGCTGCTTGACATTGGTGATAAATAAAGGGCTATTGTTAACTGATTAATTTGGAGATCAATCTACTATTTTGTTGAATTGCTTCAAAATCCTCGTCTGACCCATCAGTGTGTCAATAAACCCATAACGCCTCATGTTAAAACTGAAGACGAAAGTTTCTGTTGCTAAAATGTTACAGTATTCGGCAAATTAACATTCCACTCAAACCAGCATTAAACCGATTGCCTTCAAACAAAATAAAATCAACTTCTTACATAAAAAAATTCGGGAAATCAGGGTCGATTTAAATATTCACGGTAAAAAAGAAAGGAGCTATTTATTTATCGGAAAGAACCTACGGAAAAGACAATTTCAAAGTGTTAATACTGTGAAATAACAATTCGTAAAAATGGCCTGCTAAATTTTTTTCGATAAATTTATAATGAGTGCAATTCATTGTTGAATATGTTTGCATTCCATTTCCTGCAAAATTCTCCAGTTCGTTATTTATTACCATAGCGCGACACGAATGACCGTTTCTCAAAATTGAAACTTCTACTTCTATAAATAGACTTTCGGAAGCTAGTCATCTATTTATAGCAAAAAATACATACATAACCCAAATAATAAGTAATTTCCTGACGAAAATACAAATGTAAGGAATACATTAACGAATTTAAGTTTATTTTTTGTTTGTCATTTATACTGCCTTCAGAGCGATTGAAGCGTGAAATTTGTTTGCGAATCACCGAAGGGGAAACCAATAAATGACTTTACATAATAAAAATCGGAAGGAAATATTGATTCCGAATTTAATTTTAGCTGTAAATCGAAGGGATAAATTGATAAAAATAAGGTCCATGGACAAATAAAATAGTAAACACCTGTGGGCGCGAAGCAGTCGAAAGCGGACTTTCACTGTGTCATGGGAAGGGAAGCAACTAGAGACAATATATTGGGTATATGACTCGATTGGTTATCTAGATTGTACAACATGTGACATCGTGTGCATGTAACATGTACACAAAAAAGATAACTAGAGTGATACTTGTGGGCATCATTGTGGCCTTACTCGTCACGAACAAAACATACGAGGTATGAGCGACTTTGCCGCTCTTTTAGGCCGTTAGTTTGAAAGTTTAGTAAAAACATGTTTACGATGATGATTTTGGATTCTATGACATTGTCAAGTCTTTCCATTTCAATTACGTACAAGGTGATATGCATTTATGTGCACATATATAATTCACATGTTACATATAAAAACATAATTACAAAAAAGTCATTAAACCTGGACGGAGATATTTGATATCAACAAACATATCTAGTGAACAAAACATTTAAGCGCGGTCGGATAATGAACGTTAAACTACTCGTAAAATTAACTTTCATAAGTACAAGTTGATTAATATTTTAATAACAAAAACTTTAGAAATTTTGGAGAATTTGAAAAAGAAAGAAAGAAAAAGAAATCAGCAAGACAAGAATAGGTACAATATATTTCCAGTAACAAATCATCTTAATCTGGCGAGAACAACTGCAATACAGCTAAAGTTTGTTAATCATGTGCCTGCTGGCAGCAATAGCTTCTATCCATGCGACATGTGCAGACCAAAACCAATCGTCAGATCAGTATCGTCTGATCATGGTCTGCACTGATTGCCATTGAGTCAGTGATTAATAATGAAAGTTTCCCAAAAATTATTTATTGTTTTGTCCTGAATGACAGATGGACAAGTCCAATTAAAATAACTAGCCTTGTAATGGATTGAATCTATCAATTATACATCGCATTGTATAAATATGTTTACTGAAATCAAAAATGTATTGTATTTCAGAATAATGCTGGTGTTTTTCATTAAAATTTCTATATCAAAATATACAAAGTATAAATAGTCAATAGTTATTAATATCAATATCCATTACAATATTATTTCAACTTAATTTTACGACATCTAAATCTATTTTTCCCTTTTCTACTCCCACATTGATTTAAACACTTGGTTGGTCATCACGACATTCATGGGAAAAAGTCGTCTGCTATAGTAAATGGAATGAAAGAGCTGGTACCCACCCATTAACGTCATCGATTTTCTAAGCTTGTTGATTTTATCATAACGATTCCATTCTACATAGATCTTCTAATGGAACGCGGAAATATTGGTTATTTCAAAGCTGAATGAATCGTTATTACTCAAAGTTAGATATCTATGAAACAGTGTGTTGTTTTTTTATCAATATTGATTACGTTTGGTGTAATATGGATAAATGTTTAAACATGTCACGATTGTAGCTACGGTGATGTGATTTTATTTTAGAAATTACATGAAAACGTGTATACTAGTTTTCTAAATACAACTTTAAAGCGTTTAGTGATTTGAGGAATTGTTCAATCCAAAGACGCTTTGACATTGCAAAATCATTATTTTTCAGTTTACTAATACATTGGAGATAAACAGTTAAATGAATCACTGGCTAAGGGATTGGAAGCAGACGACACTCAGAAAAGTATCAATAATTTAGTATTTGATTTTCTATGTACTGGAGAGTTTTATTTTGTAACTTGGCAACAAAGATAACAATTATCTATGCAGCAGTGCTTAATAACAATATGATTTTTATGTGTAGGCATTAGTTGTCAATAATGTAAGATATTACTTAAACTATTGTAGTATAGAGATTATTCAGTATACAGGTTAACATGAATTATCTAAGAAATAAGATATTAATATTACAAGATTCTCTGTTCAAACGATTAATAGTATAAATGTTATTTATTAAGCGGTTTTATATTGGCTTTGTTTAACAGTCGATCCAAGACGTACTGGCCCTTGGTCTGTGACCTTGGCCCAGGAAAGGTCAAAGCTACTAAGCCAGGATATAATCACTTTTTCAGTGACAATAATATTTATTCTAGTAAACATTGGATCACAACCAACCATTTTACATGAAATATCAGCAACTTTGGTTCTATGTTCAGGTTCTAACATTATATAGCTAATTTTAGCGTCCCTACTTCGTACCCAATCAAAATCGTCCACTGTTGTAATGGCGGCAATACTTAGTGTATACTTTTTAAGTGTTCACATTTTATACAAATTGGCCGGCTGGCTATCCAAATGCTACACTGAGATAATGAATAGTCACAAGTTGACCTGGCATATGGTTTTGTTTGTGATACTGTTTGTGAGCAGTTGGTCTAGCAATAAATAGAAAAGGCGGGCTTAAATTTTCACTGCTATACAATCTGGAAAAGTCCACTGGCCTATCGCCCTTCCTTTTGGTCTCACATTGGCCTTGGATTGAATTGTATTGGCATTTAATGTTCTGTTACATGGATGTCGGATAAAAGGTAATATAAAATGAACAGTGGGTTACAGTTAATGAATAAAAATATTTTTTGAATTTCAGTATTTTCATCACCCGTAGAAACTTGATGACATAATAATCGTATTACAAATGAGGATATCCTGAAGAAAAAATATTTAAAATGCCTACAAAGATAGGATGTGTTAATGCAACACTGCTTTTCCTATTTTTGTCTTTTGGGGCACAGCTTATTGGGTTCTGTATCCCGGGATGGCTTCACATTATTATTTTGACCCCGAACCCGCTTGACCATCCCGAGAAGTCAATCAGCAAGAATTTCGCCTTGTGGTATGTAGTCATATGTTGGAAAGAGGTGTGTTTAACAAAGTCGTATAGTCAGCTAAAACAAGACAGAATCGACAGCTCGGAGAACAAGTATGCTTTCCACGACGATTGGAACGAGTTGAATGACTACGATTACTCGGCTAAATACTCGAGTAAATATTTCTTTTTCTTTCTTCACCTTTAAGAAACCAGTTTCAACGTTAATGGCTAGGTTACTACATCATCAAGCGTTCATTTATCAAGAGAATGAGATTGTAGAGAATAGAAGGCATATAGATAGATACTTTTATTTCCTCCAATATTTGAAGAGCTGAACAAACAATAACAGCAAGTACATATAGAAATTCATGTCATCTAAATATATTTAAACATGTTACATAGCATACTTGTAGATGACTATACAGTTTTTGTGTAAGAGTTCGAGACGAAACGGAAATCTAGATACTACTATGTGGTGATTGAGTGATAAATAATGAAATACAAACTTGCCTATTATTGGAAAAGTTAGACAAGTTATCTGACTATAAGTGACAATAAGCTGTAATAATAAAAACAATTATTATATATTTAGTGAACAGTCACTCGACACTACAATGTTAGTTTATATATATATAACATAAAATAGTATATAAAATATAATTCAGTATGAATTAATTTGAGGAAGTTACATTTTATAAGCAGTAGTTTAATCGATGAAAGCAAGCAATATATCATGGTTTAAAATGTCAAGTAATAGAAATGTACTGCCTATTATTTCAAAAAGAGTTACGCTTATTGTAAGCCTTATTCCTAAATTTAAGAAATATGATGTGTCCATTGCTCTGTCAAGGTTAAAAACAATTTCATAATTATATGTTGTGTTCTGCTTAAGACGGTGCGGGGGGGGGGGGCGTGGACGATAACTTGCATTTATTGAACAGGCTTTATGCAAAGCTTGCAAAATCATGTATAAATTATTATCTGTTAATTCAGATCAATGTTTTTTAAATATTCTGTGATATATTATTTACAGAATTTCCGTTTTCAAGACTACTGGAGTTCCAGATCGAGGCTGTCTCTGCTCTTGTCGTTGCCTTCATGGGGCTTGTACATATGAGGATACAGAAAAAGAGACTGGTGCAGTATATGTCGGGAAAACGTGAGGAGGAGCCGAAACAATCAACATATTGTATGGTGTTTTGTTACTCAATTATCTCAGGTAAATCGTCTGAAAGAAACTATAACTTCACCAAATATGTTCATTTATAGACCCCCACACACGCACGCACACACATCTAAAGAGAAATAAAACGGGCATTTTCGTGGACTTGATATACCCCGCCTTAAGATACAAATCATTCGACTGAAGAATTTCATTTACCTGAGGTGCATAATGAGAGTGAGAATAAATTTGGTTACTCTACTTGTTATGATATAAGGTACAACCCTATAATATTGAAAAGCGTCCTGCAAAATGTTGTTATAGAAAATAGTATTTTTTTAGATACAACAAATTGTTTTGCTAACAAACTGATCATTTAAAAAAACAAAAGCCAACAATTATTTCATATTTAAGATTCACAATATCAATAATGCCCACATCAACGTACATTTTGGTCAATTTTGATTCAATATAAGCAGGGTACTTTGTTATCAAAACCTGGATACATTTTACTTGCTAAAATGGCTTTTTTTCTAAACCGTAAAGGACCATAGTTAAAAATCATGTGAATCATTTCCTATACTGAATTACACATTCACACCACGAAATAAAATATAACAAGAAAAGCATTGATGCAAAGCATCAAAGGGCGACGCCAAAAGAATTTGATCCAGGTTTGCACCTAAATACTTAACAAAAGATGTGTACTTTATAGCAGTACCATTTCATGTGACCTGGAGGCTTGGCCCAGTTTATGTTGAAACTTAAACCAAAAAGAATAGACTCTGTCTTGCCAAGATGCAAAGACAATTTATAGTCAATAAACCAATCTTAAGATTTACTTTACCAGATACAAGGATACCTGAGTCATCATCATATAATGACAGGCACAAGTATCACACCTGGGAAGAAAAATATGACCAGATTAATAAAAAATCTGTGTTCATCTTAAAAGTGTCAAAAACCAAAAACAATATGTAAATAATGACCCCCTTTAAAAATATACTATTAACTTTAAGTATATTTTTAAAGGGGGTCATCATTTACATTTTTTTTTTGGTTTGTGACACTTTTAAGATGAACACAGGTTTTTTTTATCAATCTGGTAATATTTTTTCTTCCCAGGTCTGATACTTGTGCCTGTGCATATAATAAAAGCTTATTGCTTAGGGTTGCAGACATGTCATTGACATATATTAGACATAAAAGAGGACCTAAAATGAACATCAGGGGGACACCATAGGTATTCAGAGAGAACGAGTACCAGCCACATTCACCAGCTGCTATCAGAGATAAGACTTGAACCATGCAAGAATGTCATTACATACTGCAGATGCTTGAAGTTCCATGAAGAAGAAGAAAAAAGAACTTCTTCATGTGCAGTATAGTGTGATCAACTGTACCAAATGCTTTTTGTAGATTTAAAAGTGTCACACAATACTGCCTTTGTCCATTTCAAATTAAATGCAATCTATTAAATGAATCAAACATGTGTCAGTTGAAAAACCACTTCTAAACCCTGACTAAAACTGCCTGACCATGACTCGAACCCATGACTTTCAGAAGACCAACTGAGCTATCCGGCCGGCTACACATTTTCTCTTTATTAATGAAACAGTTCTAAACCTAAAACCCTTTTTCCCCACTATATTGATTCATGTACTTGAATTTCTGATGTTTACAGAGCATAGTAAATTAAACTAATGGTTATTTGCAGTAACAGGATGAGAAAAACTTTCAGCTTGACCAGAACTCAAACCTGTGACCCACAGAATAATGTACCGCGGCTGTAGCGATTGAGCTATCTGGCCGCTTACACATTTTCTCCCCTAAATAGTGAACAGTTCTAAACCGTGACAGATATTTAGATTTTTAAATTAACAGATAATTAATTCTTAATTAATAAATAAGAAAAAAAAAACCTTACATACTCATAGTCTTAATTAAAATAACAATTTATATAATTATTATTGTATAATTATTTTTACTAAAAAAGGGCTAAGACAGTTATTGGTTTTGTGCCATTATTTATAACAGGTCAATTTGAAAGTGAATATAACTGTGCTTATACATGTACCAAATAAATCTATGATAAAAAAGAAAAAATTTTTATGAAGGCTGATTTGTATTTTACATCAAGGGCACCGGGCGAAAACATGAAAATTGCAACAAACGAAACCACTTTGTGGTAGACTGTATTTTCATGTTTTCATCTGGCGCCCGGTTACTTTGTACTTTGTTGGTTTTCATTGTGGCACAAATCACCCACTATAAAATTTTAGTGTACAAATTTATTCAAAGGACAAGTTAACAATCTACTATCTAATGTAAAAGTCTGTTGTCGGGTTGACTCAGGAAAAGGACCTGGAGGTTTAGGAAAGACCGGTGTCCCTCCATATTACAAATAGATAAGCAGAAGAACTGTCCCTTTTCAAAACTATGCACCATGTATGTAGAAAAAATTAGAATTACTATTCAGAACATTGATTTTTTTGAGGCTTTATTGGCTCAATTTATATTGCTTTGATCCAAGTTTCAGGACATTTTTCAAATAATACATGTATTATCATTTTATAACCCTTTAAAATGAAAAGTTCTCATCCCTTTAATATAATGACATGAAACTGCAACTCTTTAAAATTCAGAAAATATTTATTAAGTCTCACCATACCAATATTACTAAAGAAAGGGTAATGTATGGCACATAACATTAATAATTCCAAGTTTCTATTAAATAAAATATGAAATATATTGGGGGTATATAAAGCCAGTAAAAGTATATTATATAATATATTATATCAATATTCACTCATCAGGGCCTCTATGCTTTTGATGACCTTACAACTGGTAAATTTTATAAAAAAAAAATTGTAAGTAAATACCTAAGATAGCCCAGAAAAGAAAAAAAAATTTAAAAGAAAAACATGATTTTACTTCCCCTTGAAAAAAAAAGAAAACATAAACCAAAAGAACCCCCTAAACATAAAAATTTAAGAAATGTTGCAGGCTAAAATTTTTAAATTATCCCTTTGGAAATTTTAATTTGGTAAAAATTTCATAAAAAAAGAAGACCATTGACAGCGGAAATTTGGGAAAGGGAAAATGGGGATAGCGTCAACACCGGATACTGGTACATTTTCGTAAAAAAACCATTCTTTTTAAAAACCCCGAAAAAAACTTTAATTATGGATAAAATCAATAGGACAATCTTTTTCAACAGCCCCATTACCTATCCTAATACCCCATTTCCCAGGTGAATTTTCCCTTTTTCTTGTAGGAAATTTTTTGGAAAATATTTTAAATAAAATGAGCATAAATTTTAGACCCAACTTTTATTAAAAAACCCGGGGTTTTGGGTTTTGGGTCAATAAAACAAAGGGACAAGCTGTTAATCAGAGCCTGCAATTTCGTGAAAATTATATCACAATGCACATGCTTTTTATATAAAGTTATTAAATACAAATATAACAACATATTTCTTTACTTGATTTTTACGAATCAAAATAAATATAATTAACACAACATGAAATTAACTGCTAATAATAACAGCTCCTTCCATAGGCAAAATAAAAAGCGTTCCATAAAAGACGACGCCGCTCACCGGCGTCGCCAATAATATCTAGAACATTGAAATGTCATGCATTTTCTTACCGAAATGTTTTTTTTTTTTTTTTTTTTTTTTTTTGTCTTTTGTTTTAACTTCAAAAGTCCATATCTAAAAATTCACAATTAAATTTAGGTAGAATTAGATGAAATACATTTCGTTACTACTCGACACAAACATTTTGTGTTTAACTGCATTCTAATCATTCAAACAGGTAATTTTGCCAAAAAACAGTTTTCTTTTATTAACAAAGGGCCATAACTCATAAACAACAAATATTTAAATTTTAACAGTCGATAACAAGCAACATTTTCTTACTGTTACATAAATTCATGCCGAGTTTCATTACGATAAAATAAACCACTGATCAATATTGCTCGAAAAGGTAAGTTTCTTTTTCTAAATTACAAAGGACCATAATTGAAAAAAAAAAAAAACATGTAACGACTTTAATATGAACATCATTAACTTACTATTATATACATTTTTTGCTGAGTTTCAATACAATGTTGTCAACAATTTGTAAAATACGAGTATGTATCAAAATTTTAAACCCTTCAAAGGCATATTATGCCTCAGAAACGATTTTTTATTACTTTGGAAAGGGCAAGTGTCTGTTTTATAACATTCACTTAATGGTTTAAGAGACTGTTAAATGCTTATTATCTAAAAAAATTTGTCGCTAATTTTGGAACTTTTCGTCATTAAAGTAGCAAAATGTAAACAAAACATTATTTTCATTTCCATTCCAATAGTTAATTATTATCAATTATAGTTGCATAAAAAGAAAAAAACAAACAGATGATTCCGATAATTTGCCAACGAAGCACTTTTTGGAACATACAAAAGTACAATAAAAATTAAAAGCTTTTTAGAAATAAAAACAAAGGCATTTCTGGGGCATAATGGGCCTTCAAATGCATTTTCTTGGTAACAAAGGGCAATAACGTAAATCCTCAGACATGTATGTTGATGAAACTTGCTCATTCTCATTTCTTGATTCATACAAACATTTTCAAAGATTCCAGATAATTAAACCGTTTTTATGAAATGACTCCGGCCGAACGGACGGACGAATGGACGGACTGGCGATTTCATTTCATTATCCTCGGCGAGAAATCTAGATTAAAAGCAGTCAAAAAACTCAGACAAGCCTTAACGTTATACAGTGCCACGTGATTTGTTGTTGTTGTTGTTTTGCATCCTAGTCATCAATGATATATTTTGCAATCTGTTTTTCAGTGTAATAGAATTTCTGCATATGTATTATTAAAGCTACCTTTTTCGGAAACAATAAATATTTGATAACATTACTCCGTCAATAATTGTTGACTTACATGTATAGCATGACTGTGGATCTATAAACTATTTTTAGAATAATTAAACTTCCAAAGTTTACAAAGTTTAAATAGAATTTTTTGTTTATATTCGTCAGTCCATAAATCTAAAATGAAAAAAAAGCACCTTGCATTATTTATCTAAAATTTCCGTTTAACTTTATGAGCCTATGAAACTAATATCTTACAACAAAGTAAACGACAGTCCACAACTTACTTTTATATGTATGTTCCGTAAAGTATTACTTAAAGGTGATAAGTTCTTCATAGATATGGTACTTAGTATTTTGTTTCAATATTTACTTTCTATGAAAGACCTATTATTTAGTATTTCATTTATATATTCACTTATTATGAAATACCTGTTATTAGGTATTTTATTTCTATAGTTACTTTCCATGAAATATCGGATATCTAGTATTTCATTTCTATATTTACTCTCCATGAAAGAACGTTATGATATTTAGGAGTCTTTCGTCGTTACCATGCTTTGAATGAATGTGTCATTCACGTGTCTATCTTTCAATGTGGACACAAAAAAAAACATTCATCAATTTTAGTAAAAATTTCAATATCATGTTCTGACTAAATAGTGAACAGTGTAGATCAATGTAATACATACGACAAGTAACCAATTTTCATTGATCTTTAAGCATCACCAAACAAGCATGAAATTTTGCTATTGCGTTTAACGTTAACAAAGATTAGAGTAACTTTTCCGTTTATAAAAGGAATCGTTTTGTAGCAGTTGTTTCCCTTTATTTTCCTGAAACTGTTTCATGTTTTCCCGATCCTTACTTCCGTCACCCCGCCGACACATAAGAATTTAGTTTCGATCATTGACTAAAAGAATGGCGGCATAAAAAATGGCGACGTGTGTGGTTGTTATGATAACTGGTTTTAAAAATAAATGACAACAAACCACAATCCCTACCTGACCTCTTTTGAGACTAAATACATTTGGTTGCTTTTATAATAGTTTAAGAATGGTTATGATAATTATTAAATTGAATTATACAATAATTATCCCTTTTGTTTAACTGGTCTTGAAATAGTTTATTTTATTACAGAAATTAGGCAGATTTTCTGTTAAACAACTTCCCAGATTTCCAAAAAATAAAGAATTAAATAAATAAATAAATAAATAAATAATAGATAAATGAATGAATGAATGAATGAATGAATGAATGAATGAATGAATGAATGAATGAAATGTATAGATAAATAAAAACATGAATAAAAAGAAATGGTTTGTAAAGTATTATCGTCTTTATTATGTTTTTATGTTAATATACAATTAAAATTTATTTATTGCTTTTTTTCAGGTGGCTTAGTTCTTGTTCCAGCCTCCAAATTTCTAGAAGTCAATAAAGATTTAAAAACAGTAGCCGACAATTACATTGTAGGGATACCATATGCATTGATTTGTTCTGGGAATTTGGTGGTATATTAGCCCTGTTTTCATGTTTAATGAATGTAGGGATCTATCTGTAATGTCTATTTCATCAGAGGAATTTAACAGCGAAATGAACGAGGAGAGACGAAGAGACCGTTTAAATTTAGGTACACAAACTTGTTCCATTGGTTAGCGTTAGATAATCAAACGACAACAAGGGGATATGTTGATCCAATTGTTCCGGGGTATGAGACAAGGTTCAATAATGGCACCAGGGCTGTTTTAACCATTTCACATTCGTTTGAGCCTGGTGAAAGGAGAGGCATAGCTATAAGACAGGGACGTGAAAGAAATTCATTACAGAATATAAATTATTCAAGCGCTGGTCAGGACTTGGAAGAACCTCCTCCTTCCTACGAAGAGTGCATGAAACAATATCGTCAACCAACCTTGATGGGTTTATTGTGTACACTTTGAGAAAATACCCTCTTTTTTGTATGCTAACAAACATGATTGGAACAATGTATTCTTCCTCGCCTAATGCAATGGCATTTGTTTTTCATTATTGTCATGATATCCAATTTCTCTAGAAGTTTTTAGGTAGGAATTAGATCTTGAATAAGAAGTTGGATGTTTCCATCTGCTCAGTTCTGAGCTAGATACTGTGTGTTACTTTTCATTCTGTCACGACACGACAATGTAAAAAAAAAGATGTACAAATTACCAGTGATATGTCAGATTTAGGTGTTATATTCTATAATATATAACTTTAGAAATATCTGCTTGCAGATACATGTTTGTGTATTTTCTTTCGAATGGGTTTTAAAACCGATAAGTAAATGTCGTTTTTGACGATTACCCAGCTTAAATGGTAGAGGAAGACCTCCGCAGCTTATCCCATATGTCACAATACAAATGTCACACATTTGTGTGATTTTATAAAGTGTTTGTTAACATAATGTTAGTACAAAAAGAAAATGTACCACTCGATCACACAGTTTCAATTTTTAAGACATGACATTTATATTGACGCTTTTGAATACATGTTCTTTCAACGTACATATTGAAATAGTCAAACAATGTGATTCGTATAACAAAAGGTTAATCAAATTCGTTTGAATACAATCGTGACTATATTTATATGTATTTGTTAGTGTTTTATATGTGAATTATAGGTGTTTGAAATATCTAGAAAACTTGTATTGGATTGGAGTGGAATTTTGTAAGGTCAGGATTTCATTAGACGCTGACATGTCAAATGTGATTCATTATTGTAAGCTCAGTACAAATAAAAGACCAATGTTCTCTTATATTGTTCCTTTTAGTATATACCTAAGTGTATATTCCAGAATATAACGTAATGCAATTACGTGAGCAACGTCATTCCGGATCACACTCTTCAATAGAACGGATGTTTACCTATCTTGTCGTATACACTAATCTTGTGTATGCTATACGTTTAAACAGTCAATATAATAGCAAAATATGAATACTAAATAAAACATGCATATTTAAAGATTTTCATGCATGGCATTACATTTTGCGAAATTTACATGACCTATTGTAACCAGTCGCCGGATTAATTTACCAGCAGTAATTGCTATGCGTCTTAATTGCGGTGTCTTATTAATATTTGCCCCCCCCCCTCCCCCCCAAAAAACAACAAACAAAAAACACGATCAGAAGCAACTTCATTTGTTAATTTTTTCTCTTCTCTTTAATTTTTCAATTTTTTCTTATTGAATTTAGAAATAAACACGTGTGTAGAATTATATAAAAGAAAAGCCACGGGTGACGTCATAATGACACTGGCTATTCCACTAAGTATGTAAATGGTGTACATTACTGTAACATTGGGAAAGGTAATGTAAAATTCTCGTTGATGAAGTTCCAACATACATGTATATAAGGCCTCTTGAATTGAAGTTATTGTGTCAAAGAATCTCAAAATGGACGATTGCTTTAGTAAAGGGTTTTTTATGATTGAGACGCTGAAGCTGGGGAAGTAACTCGTGTTAAATATTTGGATCTTACTTTTAGCATGTTTAGAAAGTATGTTTTTATTTTATCGTATTTGTCCATTTTTTGTTTTAATGTAAACTTATATACGAGTAATCTTTTGAATTGAAACAACTGTTTGAAATACACGTGGTTTTTAACTTAAAACTGTTGTGACATGTGTAGCATTAAGAATAAACTATTTAAGGACAAGTGAATTCTCGCTTTTAACATTCATTTTCAAATTTTGAATTTATCGATATTCAAGAAGCATTCGGTTATTGTCAAAATACATAAGACAGACAACAACAACACTAGCTAAAAACCTCACACGGTGTTTAACTAAGATGAGAGTGTTAAGCAATTAACT